TGGAAGGAAAAGCAACTCTTCTGTTCTCTGTGAAACCAAAACCTTATATTGATTGTAAGCTTTTGAGTAGAAAAAATTACCACAACGATGGCATCAAGAGGCTTCCTTCCTTGACGAGCAAGAAGACGCGCCCTCCATCGCCATGGGAGATTCGCAGGTCCTCGTCCAAGTAAGTGGTGAGCAGCCACGACTGGGCCGCCGCTTCTTCTTCTTGCAAGCTGGAGTCCAAATGTTCGTCTTAAGCAGCATGCTTCTCTAGATCGATCGAAGTTCTCACTCTTCCATTCTAAATCCGTAGGTGGTGGTGGCGGCGTCAAGTTTGGAGGAACCAAGGAGCTGGACAAAGTTTACGCTGTGATCGTCGTGATCGTGATATGCTGCTACGTCTCTGCCTTTGCCTGGTCTTGGGGACCCTTGGGCTGGCTCGTTCCCAGCGAGATTTTCCCACTGGAGACGCGATCGGCCGGGCAAGCGATCACGGTGGCAGTTAATCTCTTCTTCACCTTCGTCATTGCGCAGGCGTTCCTCAGCATGATGTGCCATATGAAGTTCGGGATCTTCCTGTTCTTCGCGGCCTGGGTGGCGATCATGTCAGTCTTCGTCTTCTGGTTCATACCCGAGACCAAGAACGTTCCAATCGAGGAGATGATCGGTGTGTGGAGAAAGCACTGGTTTTGGAGGAGGATTGTCCCGGACCAAGATCCTCCGGTTATCCCATACAAGCAGGATGATGAAAGCAAGATGGGCATAGAGATGACAAACTAAAGATCACTGAGTGAGAACTATAGAACTAAGTAGGATGAAGACCGAAAATATGTAAAAATCTATCACTCTCAACTTTACGGCTAAGACCAACACTCAAGAATTCACCGCCGTGGTCACGGCGAGACAAAGAAGCATTCAATTCTACACGAAGACTAGTACCACGATCAAGCCGCCGATCGATCGAGCTGGGAGATCCCTCTTTGGAATCTATGGCCGGAAGGAGAATTCGTGCAGTGGCGAATGGTGGCGGCTTGAGAACCGAGCTCTACAAGGGACGGACAACGTCTTACGTGATCCTCGCTTGCATTGTGGCCGCGTGTGGAGGCTTGATCTTTGGCTACGAAGTGGGAATCTCAGGCAAGACCAGATTTGCCATCGATCTATCGCGAATTTCCTTCGTTTTATCACAGGTGGTATGCCATCCATGCCTGCATTCTTGGAGAAATTCAATTTCCACAGCCGTGACGACGACTCTCCATTCTACTACTGCCAGAATGAAGATCAGCGACTCACCATCTTCACGTCCTCGCTCTATCTCGCGGGCATCGCGGCCAGCTTGCTGGCCTCTCACGTCACGAAGATTTACGGGCGGCGGCTATCGATCCTCTGTGGAGGCCTCTGTTCCCTCGTCGGTGCCGTGCTCAGTGGTGCCGCTCAATATCTACCCATGCTCATCTTGGGACGAATCATGCATGGCATCGGCCTTGGCTTTGGCAATCAGGTGAGTGGATTATCGGTTCGCAACAAAAAAAGATTCGATTCCTCGAATGCTCTGTCCAGGCAGTGCCGCTCTATCTATCAGAGATGGCGCCGGCAAAGATCCGGGGAGCGCTCAACATCATGTTTCAGCTCGCCATCACTATGGGGATCCTCTGCGCGAATCTCATCAACTATGGCTCCCTCCAAATCCGGGATTGGGGCTGGCGCCTCTCCCTTGGTCTCGCCGGAGTACCAGCCATCCTCATGACCATGGGCGGATTTTTCTTGCCCGAGACTCCAAATAGTTTGATCGAGCGTGGGCGTTACGAGGAGGCTCGCCGCCTCCTCACGAAGATCCGCGGGACCGAGGAGGTGGATGCCGAGTACGAAGATATCAAAGAGGCAAGCGAGCTCGCAGTGACAAACCCTTTCAAGGCCATCTTCCAGAGAAAGAATCGCCCCCAGCTCGTCATGGCGACCATGATCCCATTCTTCCAGCAGTTCACGGGGATCAATGCGATCATGTTCTACGCCCCGGTGCTCTTCCAGAAGCTTGGATTTGGCACCGATGCGTCGCTCTACTCAGCCGTGATCACTGGCGCTGTGAACGTCATGGCCACGCTCGTCGCCATCACCTTCGTTGATAAGTGGGGCCGCCGCGCGCTCTTCCTGGAAGCTGGAGTCCAAATGTTCTTCACCCAGGTGAGAGATGGATTGGTTGCTTCTCTCTCTTGATCCATCGACTAAAACTCTTTGCACGATCATAGGTGGCGATTGGGTTGATCTTTGCGATCATTACACCATTGTCCAAACCTTTTGCCGTGATCGTCGTGATCGTGATTTGCATCTACGTCTCATCCTTTGCATGGTCATGGGGGCCGCTGGGATGGCTCATTCCCAGCGAGATCTTCACACTGGAGACGCGGTCCGTCGGCCAGGGAATCAATGTGGCTGTCAACTTCCTCTTCACCTTCGTCATTGCGCAAGCTTTCCTCGCAATGCTATGCCACATGACGTACGGGATCTTCTTGTTCTTCGCAGCTTGGGTGTTGGTCATGTCCCTCTTCGTCTACTTCTTTCTTCCCGAGACCAAGAGTGTTCCTATCGAGGAGATGACCAGCGTTTGGAGGAGGCACTGGTATTGGAAGAGGTTCGTTCCAGACGAGGATCCTCCAGCTCTTCCTTCCTATAAGCGAGATCGGTACTGATCAATCGAGCTAGACGATAAGCGAGGAGCTTTCACTGCCGAGAGGAAAAACTCTCTAGTACCTCTTGGATGTTCTGTTCTCTGTGAAACCAAAACCTTAGATTGATTGTTCGCTTTTGAGTAGAAAAAATTACCACGACGATGGTATCAAGGGGCTTCCTTCCTTGACGAGCAAGAAGACGCGCCCTCCATCGCCACGGGAGATTCGCAGGTCCTCGTCCAAGTAGCCACGACTGGACCGCCGCTTCTTCTTCTTGCAAGCTGGAGCAAATGTTCGTCTCACAGGTAAGCAGCATGCTTCTCTAGATCGATCGAAGTTCTCACTCTTCCATTCTGAATCCATAGGTGGTGGTGGCGGTGATCTTGGGCGTCAAGTTTGGAGGAACCAAGGAGCTGGACAAAGTTTACGCTGTGATCAGCGTGATCGTGATATGCTGCTACGTCTCTGCCTTTGCCTGGTCTTGGGAACTCTTGGGCTGGCTCGTTCCCAGCGAGATTTTCCCACTGGAGACGCGATCGGCCGGGCAAGCGATCACGGTGGCAGTTAATCTCTTCTTCACCTTCGTCATTGTGCAGGCGTTCCTCAGCATGATGTGCCATATGAAGTTCGGGATCTTCCTGTTCTTCGCGGCCTGGGTGGCGATCATGTCAGTCTTCATCTTCTGGAGACCAAGAACGTTCCAATCGAGGAGATGATGGGTGTGTGGAGAAAGCACTGGTTTTGGAGGAGGATTGTCCCGGACCAAGATCCTCCGGTTATCCCATACAAGCAGGATGATGAAAGCAAGATGGGTGTAGAGATGACAAACTAAAAATCATTGAGCAAGAACTATAGAACTAAGTAGGATGAAGACCAAGAAATGTAAAAATCTATCACTCTCAACTTTATGGCCAAGACCAACACTCAAGAATTCGCCACCGTGGTCACGGCGACACAAAGAAGCATTCAATTCTACGCGAAGACTAGTGCCAGATCGATCGGGAGATCCCTCTTTGGAATCTATGGCCGGAAGGAAAATTCGTGGAGTTGCGAATGGTGCCGGCTTGAGAGCCGGGCTCTACAAGGGACGGACAACGTCTTACGTGATCCTCGCTTGCATTGTGGCCGCGTGTGGAGGCTTGATCTTTGGCTACGAAGTGGGAATCTCAGGCAAGACCAGATTTGTCATCGATCTATCGCGAATTTCCTTCGTTTGATCACAGGTGGTATGACATCCATGCCCGCATTCTTGGAGAAATTCAATTTCCACAGCCGTGACGACGACTCTCCATTCTACTACTGCCAGAATGAAGATCAGCGACTCACCATCTTCACGTCCTCGCTCTATCTCGCGGGCATCGCGGCCAGCTTGCTGGCCTCTCACGTCACGAAGATTTACGGGCGGCGGCTATCGATCCTCTGTGGAGGCCTCTGTTCCCTCGTCGGTGCCGTGCTCAGTGGTGCCGCTCAAAATCTAGCCATGCTCATCTT